TGATGGGGGGGGGTGTAATAATTTGCCTGGCCGAACTAACCCGCAGTCTCTCCTACATTGGGCCCAGCTTTGATCGTGCTGCCAAGTTAACTCCTCACCCCTCTCACTTTTTCCTACAGACCAACCAACACCCCCTGCATGCAACTCCATGGGGAGGAGAGGGGAAATCCCTCCGTCCACTTCCCCCAAATTCTTCACCTTCAAACGCGAGCTCTCAGGAACATCAATTCCTTGTCACTATGGTACCACCCCCTCCTCATTCCTCAAAAACCTCACCTCTTAAAGGAGCCGCATCCAGAAGGCTGAAACAGACGTGAGACCAATGTGCAGACAAGCACCCTCGGAAACAGCCTTTTGGCAAAGGGTGGAAATTTAACAACTGCTTTGCCCAGGGTCAGGTTGGTGAGGTCATCATGGGAGCCTTGTCCCGCCTGTGCGGCAGAGCTGGAGGATGGGGATGGGCCATGCCTCTCACGACAGCCAACCTGACCCTGGGCGAACTGGTTGTTAAATTATTTGAATCCCACCACTGCTGTGAAGTGTTATGTAAGGTATAAGTCTAAGTGCTAAGTACTATTGCTATTAATTCTGGTCCCTTGCTTTGCCTGTTCTTCTTCTACATCACCCATTTTGTACGGTGACCCCTAACAAAATGCTATGTTTAATCTGAAAAGAGTTGTCCATCTCTGCTTCAAACACATTAACAATTGTGTTCTGATATGCTAAAGATCCCTGTTGTAGCTAAGGGAGCTGATTAACAAAGATGAACAGTAACCAGGCTATCCTGTGGGTAACTAACTCACAGCTTTCCTGCTGGTTCTGCAAAGTGTTGCAGATGACAAGGATAATAAAACTCAGAAATCACTAGCCTTAAGCCTCCAAATGAAAAACCCTGTGTGATTTGAGGGGAGGGGGAAAAGGAAGAAAGAAGGGAGAGAAATTTGCCACCTCAAGCATAGTAAATTAGAGTTGCAACACGTTTTACATGCGTCCCCAAGGAGGGACTTGTATAAGGAATCTGTGGGGGAAAAAAATCAATTGCATTCAGTTTAAAGAGGTGATTTCCAAGTGGTCAGTAAGGAAAACTTTTGGGATACAGGCAATGCTGACTGCTTTCCCCATATTTTCTCCACCTTCAATTATATGCACACATGAAAGCTGCCAGAATGATCTTTCCCTTACGGTTTTCAAAGTCAGGAGACGAGCACTGGGCTGTCATGAATTGTCAGAGGTAGAACTAGATAATAAGCATTGATAATTCAATAGCTGATAGATGGGAGCAGGGAGGGATAGTCAAAGGACTATATGTGGAAAAATAGAACACATACATAATTTTCTTTGGGACCAATTAATGTTATTCAAGTTTGCATATTCTTAATCAGAAATATATTGTAATTTAAGTCACAGGCCAAAGGGGGGGGGGGCATCTTTTATAATGAAAATCAACAAGTCGCCATGTCGATAATGGTGGGCTTCTCGGTATTTTCTGATGTAATTTATAAATTAAAAAACAATCTAAATGAAATTACAATAACCAGGCAGGAGCTGGTCACTGAAGGAACAAAGTAGGCCTGCGCATAAATATTTTAGCATATGATTTCAGAGACTTATTTTGCAAGCTAGATTAGAGAGGTTTCTTCTACGTGGCGGCACAGAGAAAGAGAGAAGGAAGAGTTCTTCCTTTCTCTTGTTTTGCATTGTTAACTGGTGATTTTTTTTAAAACAATATCACAGGACAAATTATAATATAGTGTTCAGTTGCAATAAAGACATTCAGCCCCAATATCCCACACAACCACCGTAGGAACGCTTGAGGCTACATTAGGTGGCATGTACTACAGAGGCCCTGAAGTTCAAACGGCCTCCTGTTTTGTATGCAAGAGATCACAGATTCAACCTATGGAGTTCAGAGGCATCTGCGGGATTCGTCCTTTTTATCAAAATGACAAGAGCAGCATTGCCCTGTCATACTACAAACTCTGACCTTTTCACAGATGTGATGCACATACGGAAAAGGGCGAAGCTTACAATGCGACACCAGAAGACTGTTTTTCTCTTCATTCCATACAGTATCCCCGAATACAAAAAAAACACCTCTGGCAAAATTAGTTAAGTACGAAGTTAAGATCATTTGAAAGCAGAACAAACAACAACAAAAAATGATTGGCTATGAAAACCCAGATACAATCCCCATTTCGACTGGCACTGGCAGTTTATATAAAAGTCCTTTTCACATCATGTCTGAAAGGACACATAACTGGTAACACTCTCACAAATTCATGAAATCATTTATCTCCAACTTTGTTCCTTAATTGCCACAATTTTCACAATCATGGGCATGCTACTTTAAACGAGCATACCCCAATACATTCATGCTTTGACTTTCTCCCATATCGAATATACCAGGGGTGGGTTCTACTTACCTTTACTACTGGTTTGCAATAGGGCCACGCACGTGGGCGGAGCCTCCCGCCGGTTTTACTACCAGTTCTATAGAACCAGTCCGAACCAGGGGCAACCCACCACTGGAATATACATGTCACCGCAATTATTGGCTCAGCATATTTCTTGTAACATTGAAGAAATCTTATAAATCTGAATTGTGGCTTCTTTCTTTACGTATAGTCAGTCAGTCTTTGCAAGAGCAATCTATATAGTCAAATGAATTCCCATCTCCAAAGTCTTAGTGTGAGTTCCTTGACTGACAGCATGGCTGATAGCTTATAATTTCCTTCTATTGCCAAGAATTTACCAACATTAGTCATCCTCTTTCCATATGGTGGTGGACAGCTTTAATTATCAGAGCGTCTTAAAATGAAATTTTTAAAGTAAAAACAAGCGAAAACCCTTCAAAGGCACCAAACACCCCACAGAATAATGTTTAGAAGTGCAATAAAATATTGATACTGTAAAATGATTCAAAGGAGAAAGAAAAGACATGATGTAATTTCAGAGGTTGAAGAGGGGGAAAATAAAAGAGAGTGGAGTGGAGTTTCTCCAGGGAGAATGAGGAATGCCTTTAACAGCCTATATGGCTTTACAGAAACATTCCTTTCACTTGCCAGGTGCTTGTGGAGAAAAGAAAACATTTTTTATCCCACTCTGGGCTGCTTTAATCATACTCCTGCATGTCAAATAAGACACTGCTCTTTAAAGCCACAGAGGAAGAAAGCTGAAACAGAATTGCCACAGGGAAGAGGAAATTTCAAATTAAATAGTGGAGGTATTCAAATTAAATAGTGGGGAAAGAGGGTAAAATTAGAGTCCATCTTTATTTCTTAACCCGATGCTACAATATTTTATCAATTCTAGACAGACTATGGTTCGCAACTGTCAATATAAAATAGCATGCATTCAAAGGATTTAATGGAGCATTTATTAGGAGTTAGTTTTTCATTTCCACTGGGGTACAGTACTTCAGATGCATTTGCCATTCAACATAACGTTAAATATACTTAAGATATATGGTGTATTTATTTCTTTGGCTTTAGGCATAAAGTACTGTTGATGCTGGCTCTCAAGAGAAATCTTTAAAAACGAAAACCCAATAAATCTGGACTTGGTTTGCAGAAAAATGGAGGTACACCACCAGATACATTGATGTTCTATTCATTATCTGTATCAACAAGGTTAGTTAAAAATAAACAAGTAGTTGGGGTTAACAACACAGAGTAAGGAAGCGCTCTCTCCAAAAATACCATTTTATATCAGCGCTAAGGAGCTAACCAATATTCATAACTTTTTCAACTATTTGCTAAACTCTTGCTGCGATCATAAAGCAACCATATGTCGGGAACATTAGCTCAGCACATAGTAACTGAATGCAAATAAACAAGACTATTAGTTCAAAGGCCAATAGCAGTCAGAAAATGATACACAAAACCAAACAAATATCCAATATATCCCATATGTGACAAGCTACCTTGATATGTTGACTTGAATTCAAGTGTTATATAGCAAACGCAAGACTGTTATATTTTTTAAACCACCTATCTAATATTGTTGTTAAGTTTGGAATACATTTAATATACTTTTTACAGAATAGAAAGAAGAAAGCTGCCATGTTTAAATTAAATATTGAATATGGCCATCCTATAAGAGTTTTACAGTACCATTTATGCTAACAACTATAATCCTATACATACACAATATATACTGTATTTTTCAGAGTATAAGACGCACTTTTTCCCCCCCTAAAAGGGGGAGAAAATTTAGGTGCGTCTTATACACCGAATGTAGCCCCGCCCACCCACTGGCCCACACCCTTTGGCCTCTGCCTCCCAGCAATTTACCTCCTTGCAGCAAGTAGCCAGAAGAAACAGCTCATTTCAGCTTCAGCACAGCCTAATTAGCACAAGTTGATTGGATTGGCCTCCGACTCTCAGTTGTTTTGCGCAGGGCTCTGCTGCTTGCTGCAAGGAGGTAAATTGCTGGGAGCAGATTTTTTTTTTCTTCTGCTAATCACGCTATGTTGAAAACCAAAACGAAAGTAAAGCAGGCTGTTTGCTGCAACGAGGCAAAATTGCTGGGAGGCAGAGGTAGATTTCTTTTTCTTGTTTTCCTCACCAAAAAAAGGTAGGTGCATCTTATAGTCTGGAGCGTTTTATACTCCCCAAAAATACGGTAAAAGGTAAGGGAGTTCCTGCAGATTTTAGTCCGCTAATTGTTGCTGACTGCAGGGGGTGATGTTCATCTCCATTTCAAGGCCATTGTCTGAAGATATTTCCGCAGTCATGTGGCCAGTATGACATAACAGAGCACTTTTACCTTCCCACCAAAATGGTACCTATTTATCTTGCATGTTTTTGAACTGCTAGGTTGATAGGAGTTGGAGCAAGGATGGCAACTCACCCTGTCACATGGCACCCAGGTCTCAAACCTGGGCTGCCGGCTTTCCAGTGTCTTAACTGCTGAGCCATCATATTGCCCTTTATCTGAGTATACAGTATATGCTCTAAGGTAAATCCATTGAGTACAGTGAACTTAAGTTGGATTCTTACCTGCAACAAATGACAGCCTTGCAGGACAATGCTAGGTCCAGGAAGGACTGCCTCACTTCAAAGGACAGGGCATACTTCAGAGTTTGGCCATCTATAATCAAAGCAATATCATTTTCTTTGCCCAGTGAGTCTCCCAGACTTTCACAATGGTGCGTTAATGCAGCTCTTGTTGCCTAAATGAAAAAAAGAGGGTGGGGAGGGGGGAGAGGAGAAAACCACATTTTGTTACCATTTTTGTTAAGCAGGACAGCCCAAACTGGGAACCTTGAAGAATTTATTCAAGGAGGAATTCCGATAGATTCCACATTTGTTATTGCATGTATATTACAAAAAGATGAAAATGCATGAGAAAGGCGGCAATATGACTTTTTAGATTAAAGACGTGGTCTATTCTGATGGAAATCTTTTGAATTCCTCCAATTACTGGACCAGTCATTAACTGCTGCTAGGTGGCATTGGTATAACTTGTGATATTTTCCTCCAGTCCAGAATGCAGTGTGTGAGTTATTCATGACCACATTAGGCGAGAGTTTGGGTTATGCAGTTAAGGATTTGTACCAATCGTCCACATAAAGAGCTAACAGAATGAACACACAGCTCTCTCCTAAAGCTGTAAAATGCAAAAATTTATACCCTAAATCAGGGGTCTCCAACTTTGGCAACTTTAAGACTTGTGGACTTCAACTCCCAGAATTCCCAGCATAGCGGGCTGAGGAATTCTGGGAGTTGGAAGTCCACAAGTCTTAAAGTTGCCAAGGTTGGAGACCTCTGCCCTAAATTACAGAAACTAAATTGGGGTGTGTATTCTATGTTAATTTCCTTCACTGCAGGTTCTTCAACAGGACTTTAGTTTGAGCTGCTTCTCATTAAGATGTTAACTTTTTAACTTTTTATTTTGCTACTGGCCTTAATCCGTTCAAATTAATATAAGTATAGTACTGGCTTCTGAAATATTTCAGTTTCTGTTTTTAACATTGGCTGTATTTTATTACCCTTACAGTACATTTGGTGGGGTTTTTTTTTTAAGTTGCCTTACTTTTTCTTGGCCAGAGAACTATAAAATATAAAATCTGCCAGTTTCTGAACTGAACTGATATAGTATGGAATAAAAAAATGCTAACCCATTAGCTATATATTTCCAGACTATTCCATTCTATTTCCAATCCCAGCATACTGGGTCCTTTCCAACCTTCAACTCAATGAGTATAAAAAATTTAGCGACTATTCACCGCTTATAAAACTACAAATAATTTTATCTGTCCACCCCACATCCCTTCTCTTATCTACAAACAAATCCATAAAACGTCTTTTCAGTTCTGGTGTCCACAAAATTTCCATAAAGGGTTGCCAGAAGTAACAACATATTTTTTTAACCTTGATCAAATAAAAGTAAAAGAAAGAAATATAAAGTTGTTTTAACAGTCTTAATATTTAGTTCATTCAAATATTGTCATAGGATTTGATTTCTCTTCATTTCTTCTTTGTTCCATCATACAGAATTCTTTAAGATCTTAACAAGCCTTCTTTAAATAAATCCAAAGGAAAAAATTGCCCAGGTTGTTCTTTTGAATTATCTTTTGCATTTCTCCTTTGAATTTTAAAATATCAGCTAATTTCTTTTATAGATTCAGTGAAACATCCTTTTTCAAGTCATTCTCTGGGCTTGTTAGTTGTAAATGCACTTTTGAATACTACCTTTATATTGTAAATAAAATGTCTTCTTCATGTTATTTCTTCAGTAACATATTTTGGATATAGTCTATCCATAAAAGGATTAAAAAAAAATCTTTACTAACATTGTTGATATTCTGCTATTAATTTCTGATTCCATTCTTCAAAAGCCTGTTTCAGTTTTTTCATTGCTATAATGCTTTGCTTCGTTTTGCAGGCTTCTATTTTCTCCCCCTGTCTAAAATTACCTCTAGTACCCAGTTTTTAAAATCATGAAATTACTTATCTGTGTTATGTCAACCACTAATTTAAAGAAGGCTGGAGAATTCTAATTAATTAAAATCTTCCAACCTGAAATGAGTCCCCCAGCGCTGCTGGCTGGGGGACTCTGGGAGTTGAAGTCCACCCATCTTCAAGCTACCAAGGTTGAGAAACACTGCGTTAGAGGGATAAACCATCATGTTACCTTCCTATTCCACATTTGGCATCAATTACCAGAGCACCACTTACTAATACCTTATTTTGTATAGAGTTGGCAACTAGATAAGGACATCTGACTATGATCTTACAGATTTGAGGGGTATAAGGCTTTAGTGAAGAAAAAAACACATACTTCCCGTAGAAGAGAAACCCAAAACATTTGTACCACCATCCTAACTATGTTCTTTTCTACTTCTGCTTATCAAATAAGAAGTTCTGGGCTTCCCTTCTGTGGAAAGCATCCAAATGGAGCCCAGGATTGTTTTCTACTTAGAGGTTTAAGTTTGTGGCAGGGCTGACAGTTGGAGATTAAATTGTTCAAAATTGATCTGGATCCAATCAAATATCTGTAATTAGTATCTCTGAATTAATGCAACCTTAACTAAAGATATTTAATTATATGCTTAATATGCATAACGGAAACCAACCCTAACTTTTCTTTAGGAGAGATACCGAAGCTGAAACTCAAATACTTTGGCTACCAAATAAGAAGAAAGGAGTCATTGGAAAAGACCTGATGTTCGGAAAGATTGAAGGCAAAAGAAGAAGGGGAATGAAGAGGATGAGATGGTTAAATGGTGTCATTGATGCAACGAACATGAATCTGAGCAAACTCTGGAAGACAGTGGAGGACAGGTGGGCCTGGCATACTATGGTCTATGGCAGGGGTCTCCAACCTTGGCAACTTTAAGATCTGTGAACTTCAACTCCCAGAATTCCTCAGCTAGCGAAGCTGCAAATACTAGGAGTTGAAGTCCACAGGTCTTAAAGTTGCCAAGGTTGGAGACCCCTGGTCTACGGGGTCACAAAGAGTCGGACACAACTTAGCAACTGAACAACATATCAGAGTTTAGATTATTTCCTTTTATAATACTCTAAATTGCAGATATAGCTACAGAAAATAAGAGTGGGTGGGATTATATTTGTCCCAAATAAAAATAATATATTATGCAACACTCTAATCTTTTGAATGTTTTTGATTTAGTTTCATCCTCTAGTGAAGGTATTCAGGTTAACTTAAACATTGAATGTATCATTGCTTTCCAGACCAATCTATTTCTATGGCTGGTGTTCTGGGGGAAAATGAAAGTTGAAAACATTCAACAATTTAAAATAATGGGGGTGGGGGGGTGGGGGTGGAAGCAGGATAGAAACTTAAATAGAAAATTAAATCCTCCAGAATAACTCTGTTTTAGAAAGCATTTTGTTCCAAGGAATTATGGGAAATTTAAACACCAGCATCAGCTAAAATGTGAGTGACTTTTCCCTAAATTGTGAAAATTACCCATCTCAAAACCACAAAAGAAAGGCTGCTTCACTCCCATCCAAATTCAACACAGACTAAACATTCTGCTGGAAGTTCAATAAAACTTGAATTTGAAGCATTTAAAGAATGGCCAGAATATTCCATCTATAGAATTAGTAATCATAATATCCAGCATGAGACTGAATAATCCTATAAATACAAAACGTTTTGAGAGGAAAAATGAGAATAATCTAATTAGAAAAGATCTAATTTAGCTTCAACAATGCAAGAAAAACAACGAATGAATCAACATTTCTCCTATTCTTTATGAAATTTAATTTAAAAACTATTTTCAATGTTAACTGACAATATCCTGCATAATTATCAGTGGATTTCTGACAAAGGAGTATCTGAAATATATTTTTTAAAACACAAGCTACTTAATATGTTTCCAACCCGTTTAACATTATTCTACAAAACTGCTAGGATTCAGCTGCGTTAATCACAGCATTTTGTCCAGTGATGCCCTTGAAAATGTTTCCTTAAATAAATAAATAAATAAAAGTTGAAAATGTTTTTCGTTTACTTTAGGCACAACAAAACCTAAACCTGTTTTTCTCAATTAACCTCTTTTTCTGAGTTAACGTGACACACTAAATTATATACTGAGCAGACATACCAGGTGGATAGGCCAATACAGCTCAGCTTTCAGACCTACTAATGGGTCATAAGTGGCTATGTGCTGAGGAGAGCAGGAAGGATAAGGGTGGGGGGAAAAAAACACATCTGCTTATTTTGTTTTTCAGTTTGGGGAAAAGGAGTCTAAAAGTGAGATCGGGAGCATCTGTCTTCTATTATTTTTGAAGCAAAAAATGCACACCAAATTTTAACTACAGCTAATTCTCAATTCACAATCTACAATTGGACCAGAACTTCTGCTGCTAATCGAGGCAGTTAAATGAGCCACACCCATTTTATGACTGTATTTGCCCCAACTGTTAAGCCAGGGGTGGGCAAATATGGCCCCTTTATGACCTGTGGACTTCAACTCCCAGAATTCCTGAGCCAGCTTGGCTGTCTCAGGAATTCTGGGAGTTGAAGTCCACAGGTTAAAAGGGCCACATTTGCCCACCCCTGTGTTAAGCAAATCACCAGTCATTATGCAAATCCAGCTTTCTCTCTTGAGTTTGCTTGGGAAGTTCACAAGTGGTGATCATGTGATCCCCAGATTCTGCAACCCTTGTGAATGGGTTACCAAGTACCCAGATTGTAATCACATGATTTAAGGATGTTGCGACAGTTGTATATGCAAGAACCATCATAAGACACTTTTTTTCAGTGCCATCATAACTTCAAACAGTTGCTGCACAAACTGCAATTTAAATTGGGGACCAACTAGTATTTTGCTGTCCGATCATACACAGTTTACAGATTACCTATCCCTGGATTAATGAGGTATGTGAAGAATCCCTTTGTGGATGATATAAATTTATAATTTTATTATTATAAGATACAAATATAGCTATTTATAGCTTACACAACAAATGCTGACAAGGTGTGGCTTAAGTGTGATAAGTAAACCCAGCTTAAACAACAAGCAGGAGAAAAAAGCCAATGTTCACATTAAGATACACCAAACCTCCCATACAGAATAAACTGCTGAACTACATAAATTACTGATTGAAATTAAACCCACTGAAGGACTAATTTAATCAACTGGAAACATCCCATGTTATCTTTTAACCCACACTGGGAAAATATTTAAGGATATGCATT